TAGGAGGTCTGGGTTGGCCTATGGCACCCCCAGCCTGTCTAATATTTGAAGACTCAGCCACCCAAGGTTCCGAAGGGGTGACTGGCCTGTCTACCTCAGGTGGGCAATGGCCTCACCCTCTGACCGGTTCCAGGGGAGATGCCTCCTCTAGGAGGTAGCACTCTGGACCCAAACGGGCCTGCCTATTGCTGTGCTCAATCTCCTCCCCCTTCCCCTACCCAGGCCCCCAATCTCGTGGCAGAGCGGTCTGGTGGTGACCCGCCTGCAGTACCTGCAAAATAAGGTGAAGCAGCAGATGTCCCCTACTTCTAGAGCGGGACCTTCACCCCTATTCTACAGCGGGTGGCACCTGAGGTTGAAGGAATCTTCCAACTGAGGGGTGCTGGCCTTCGCGTGTTCGGCTACACGATGAGCGCCTGGCGCATGCACTGAATCCGTAGCTGAATCCGCGGATCTGGCGATCGCCCAGCGCCGTCGATCCCCGAACACCAATCGCCCAACTGAAAGCTCCTTAGGCCCGCAAAACAACCTCCCGCAGGCACACAGCAAGGCGATTCAGCACCCGCGGAGGTGCTGACCGCTGCCTGGGGTGTTGGAGGCTTCCGGAATCCGCAGCCCTGTCAGGCCGCGTGGTCACTCTGGATGCTGCGCCTCTCACTCAGCTCCTGGCTCCGGGCTTCGCGCTCCGAAACCAAATTGTTGCGGCCCCGTCGGCGGCCGCTGGTTTCCGGAGGCGTGGGGGTCGCCCTGCCCTGCGGCTTGGCTGTTGGAGGTTAGCCGGCTCTCTCCACCTCGGACGGTGGGCGTATCCGGGGCAGTCGAATCGGCGGTCGCGCGGTGGGCCCAATGCTCGACGGGGATCGATCCCCGGGGCCTGCTGTCGGCAAGAGGTGGCGGCGCAGCGAGGTGGTGGTTCGCTGGCTCGCGGGAGGCCAGAGAGTGGGCCAAAGGATGTTACATGGATTCACAACATGCGCGCGCACATATCGCATGCGCGATGCCCGATCGCGGGTCCATCGCAGTCACATCATGATAAGACAAGACAAGTGCGCGTCCAGGCACATCGTCACCGTCCACCGTTCACCTACAATCGACCCATTGTCCTCTAATTCCAAGCGTCTAACACCCGACCCCCTGGCCCTAAGTACTACGACTTCAGGAGGCCATATCTTCGCCGTTTCTTAACGGAATCGGGCGTTTAAAAGCTCTTTGGAACCAGGAAGCTCCTAATAACGTCCCCAAAAGGTCGATTTACCCAATTACGTAATTCCCGCTCCAGAAAACCTCAATAACTGCCTGACCCCAAGTAGCCACGTCACACCCAGGGACGGTTCCGTTCCTGGGATAGGAACGGTGTCCGTTCCCGTCCCAGGAACGGACCCGTCCCTGGGACGGGAACGGACACCGTTGCCGTTCCCATTCCTACCAACTTTGGACGGGCCCACCTCTGGTTGCATCCCCAAATGGACCCGGCTTTCTCATACCCCACATCAATATGTCTTGTTGTCTACTCTGGTGTGGCCCAATTGGGTTATTTGTGCACCTGCTGCCTTCCTTCCATGGGTTTGCTTAGTATCATTCTCAAAGCCTTCCAAAGGACTCTAACATTTCCCTTGGTATCCACCAATAGTGGGCCCATAGTCCCCTTAGTACATGCCATTGTCCTAAAGTCGGTATTCAGCATTCTCACTCACGTTATCCTTGATGGGATTGTGGTCCGCCCCCCGACCACAAGGCTTTGGCTTGGCAAGATCCGTTTTGAACGACGCCACTCAATCTCATCAGTTCCTTTTTGAGTCTTGTTCTGTTTCCCTTGTATGCAAGGAAAACTGTGGGAGCGTTTGCAACACTCAATGTGAACGCTTCTTGACCAATCCAAACCATGATGAGGTTACAACAGTAACCACTCTAGTGTAATTCCGCCACCAATATAGCATGCGTCCCCCAGGCAGGCCTCACTGGGATTATTCAAAGATTCATTGATACAACCCAGTGTGAATCACAGTCGATGAACATAACATAAGGTTGCTACAAAAGGTGACAACATGAAGTACCACGCACGCTGCGCACAGTGCAGTAGTGTTTGCATGAGAGGATTGGGCATTGTAAAGACATTTCTATTGTCCCGACTGCCTAAGAGGTTTTCCCAACTCGCCAGATCTCGTGTGTTCGGGTCGCCAATAAATAGAACCAATCTAGCATAATGATTGGCAGTCAATTTTCCAATGTCCCATGACTAAGTCGGGGCTCACTCGCCCTGTGAAGCCCAGAATGTGGTCTAGCATTCAGCGGCTAGACCATCGCAGACTGGGGTGCAACATTGAGGATTAGATCATCAACAACTAGGGACATTGAACACCATCAACGGCCATGTAAGCCATGGCAAGAGCAGCACAATATACTCACAGCTGTGGGCATGCACCACGTCAGTGCATTGAACTCAGAATTCGATTGCGACTCAAGGATGTGACACCCAGATCGTCTATCAGAAAATGAGCTGAGATGTCGGCATGCTGCATGTTTGGTTCCTCAATGACAGCTGCGAGGAAGGCCGTCTCAATTGGCAGGGGTTCCAAAGTCGGAATGATGTGAAAACGGTTCGAGATGGCTTTCATAAATGTGTGATGTCGAGTCTTTTCTGTTTCAAAATTTGATGGTTTTTGTACTTTTTTTTTAGTGGCACTTGGCATCCAGAATAGCGATATGACCAGTCTGCTGATTGAACATCAGAGGTGGTGTTTGTTTAACCATGTGCTGACATGGATAGAACGGCTATGGGTGCGCTGGCTGAGTGATATATGTCACTTGAACTGCCATGATTGCAGCTGTGTGAAGTGCGACAGTGTTTTAATCGAATATGATGACCGAAGGGCAGAAGGCTCATGTGGCATTTTTTTTTCTGTAGGCTAGGCTGCATGTTGTGTGGTGTTGATGCAATCCTTGCATGAGGATGAAGTGAGCGGCTGGTAACAGCTTACAAATATGGGACCGCTGTTTGGCGATAGGACGGGCTGGGAGGGAATCGTATGTGAACACCCAGAGTTGACACGACTTGTAAGGATCAACAAAGATTTGATGCGCTGACATGTACGAGGTTTCGAGTTTCGAGGGGCTATCTTGGGTGGCTGCCGCGGCATGTGTGGCGCCACAAGGTCGCGCCGCCCGTTTTTGGAGGGGATGCAACGGGACGAACAAAAATTTGTGAAGTTGTAAGCGCCTTGCCAGTGTTCTCTGAGTGTGCGGCCTTTGCACACAGGTCGGGGAGTGTATCCCGACCAGTGTGGCCTCAAAACCAGCGGTTTTCGGTCCCAAACTGATGATGCACCCATGGCGCGCTCATCGTTCGGCCTGGTTGGTTTTCTGGGTAAATCTGTGAGAATCGCTGCAGTTTCTGTCAGCGTTTCTGTCCGTGCCTTTTGGGATTGCATGCGGCTGGACATGCAAGGCCAGTGGGGAGTTTTGTCCGTGTTTCTGTGGCCGATTTTCCTGCAACATGCATGCAAAGCGACCCAATCTCGCCGCAAATTCCCGCTCTCCTCAACCGCTCTGGGGTAGGGGACGAGCCTTTTACAGGCTTTCACTGTGCTACCCCGAGGGTTTGGTCATGTTTCGGCCACGATCTCTACACATGGCAATTCTCCGTCACCTACCCGTGTCTCAATCAGAAATTTACTGACCTAGGCACCGACAGAAAAATGCTTTTGCGATGAACAGCAACACGGCACAGCGCTTCCCAGAAACGCAGAATCGTTCATCTTTGGAAGATTAATTGAAGTGCCGCATGCCCAGTGGCACATGGACGAGGGCAGGTGCCTGAAGAACACCTGCGCAGATGACTAAGCAGTCATGGCGGCTCGCTCTTCATTCCATTGCCGCCTCAGCGGCGCGATAGCATAGACTCACAAGTACCTGTGAAAATTCTGCGGTCGTCAATTGGCTGATGTACCAGTTCGAATTGCCTCCCAAGGCTGTTTCTTTGTCTGGTAAACTTATCAATGACTCTGCGGTGGACTTCTCTACCAAGCAGTGGTACGTATAGGCAATACCAACGATTGATGTGGCAAATATTCTGAACGCATTCTATTCTACCAGCGTCCTGATCCGATGCTGCGATTTTGCAAGAGACCAGCTGGCCGTTCCTGTTGGGTACGAGAGCATAATGAATCAAATCGGTGCTTCAAACAATGGAAAATTTCGCATTTGGGCCAAGTCCAGCTCTCTTATGCGCATCTCCCTTCCGCACAGCCATATGGCTGGCTGAAGCGTGGTCAGCTGTCCTTGTTGCTTGCACGGCACCGTCCCAGCCCTTCTCAATTCACTTGAGGCGCAGTGTATACTGCACACACCGATTTGCAAATCAGGGAAACGTCTGGACAAGCCAATCAATCCGTCGCAGTTGCGCGAGGACATCTGAGCCTCATTCAGGAGGCCGCCAGTTCCCTGTCTTGGTCCAGCAGCTCACATTGAGGAAGCCGGAGGGGTGGTCAAGGAGAAGAGCAACGTGTTTTGAGTCCCACCCATCCAATGTCCCACCCTGGTGGACTGTCCCGCGACATTGTCTCGGAGGCAACTGCATGGTGTTGTGTCTGCCCAACGGATTCATGGATGTGTGCGCCATGACGCGACATGCGGCACCCCGATTCAGCCGGAACGCGCAGTCCGATGAACTTGCGCTGGGGGTTTTTCATGGGACACTGCCTCATCGCCCCAGCTGTTTCGATCTTCGCCCCAGTTGCTTCCGCCGCTGCCCCGCGTTGGAGGGGCGCGGGCGACTGCCAAGGGCAGGCGGATTCGGGGGTTGGCTGCGTGGGTAGGCCCCCCGCCGCTGTGGCATCTACCATCCACAGGGCCTGCCGCCAGCCTTCGGTTCGTCCACCAGCCCCACAAAACACGGGCCGCAGAAGTGTAGCGCCCGAATCCTGGCACGTTGAAGGTTGGCGCCGCGATTGCCCTGTCGCGAGATAATCGGCGGCGGGACCGCGTGGCGCTGGTCGAGCGACATGGAGCGGCGCGACTCCAAGCAGCACCTGCAGGACGGGGAGGACAGCCTGGAGGGCACGTGCGACGCGGCGCTGGTGCTCAGCGACGGCACGGAGGTGCTTGTGCACAGCCAGGCGCTCATCATGCACTCGAGGTTCTTCAGGAGGATGATCGCGGACGTGCAGTGCGGGCGCCCAAGGGCGGCGTCGGGGGAGCTGCTGAGGATCCCGCTCGACGACGGCACCAGCCTGGAGGACGTGGAGGTGCTGCTGGGCTACCTGTACAAACGGGATGCCGTCGTGAATTCGGTGAGCGGGCTGGTGGGGCGCCATCCTGGGAGGGGGCCGAGTCGTGGATGCGCAGCGGCGCATGTGAATGCCGGTTTGTTGGCAGCATGGGCCGGCTGGCCACTGCTGGCTGGCGGAGGCAGTACACGATGCAGTATCGTTGGCAAATCGAGGGTCGTTTGCTGTTGTGCCAATGCCTCTCAACTTGGCCCGGCTAAGTTGGGAGTGCAGCGCGTGAACGCGGGGCGGACGAGCAGGCGATTGATCCTGAACTTGTGGGCGATGCCTCTGCGAAGCAGCATGAGGATTCTCAAATGCGGTGGCGATCGTGTCTGCTCGCTGCACGCAATGACGACACGATGATGGCGCTGCAAGGCGCCACCTTTAAAAAAGTTGGGTCCCAAAAGCGTCCAGATTGGTTCTCGGTGTCCTATCGTGAATCCTGTAAAAGAAATCTGCTTTGTTGTGCGCGAATATAACTTAGGTGCTGCGTCAACAAGCACAGGAGATTGGACACTGTCGCCTGACGTCAATTCAGATCCTCGTTTGGTGATTGAGAAGGAGTGGCAAATGCAAATCATTCCTGTTGCTCCTGAGCTGCCTCTTGGAGATTATATTTTGCCTCGTCGCTAGGCGCGCAGCATGCGTCGCTCCGCAGCTTCTAAGATCACAGACGAATTCATTTTGCCACGGTGGCTTTGGAGCTGCGACTCTCCGACATGCCCTCTTCAACCCCACTGACACATGAGCACTTGGAACTTCCTTCGGCATTCGATGCTTGTGGCACCACAGCTGCGACCATATGTGACTTTGGCTTTGGCAATCACGACATTGGGTGTGTGTTGTGGATGATCAAAGCCTGGGAATCCGTTACTAACCGTTTGCAGCGCACTGTGTTAATATGGCCATTTTTGTGATTTTGTTCACAGTTTGAGGATGCAAAGGCGCTCGTGTTCCTGGCCGACAAGTTTGACATGCCGTCAATCATTCGGCTGTGTGAGCCCAAGCTCTGCAGCGATGTGCACAGACTGCATTTTGCTGGATTCGCAGCAAGCCTGCCCCGCGGCCGAAGCACTGGCAAGTCCAACACCCCATTCGATCTCCAGGGCCTGGATGAATGCTATGATGCTGCCAGGTAGGTTGCCGAACTGTTTGACGCTGTGTTGGGTGGTGAAGAGCATGAATGATTTCCAAAAAGCCATTAATTTTGGCATGAGCAGCACTTCGGCTGTGCATGCGTGGGAATGGGCAAATGATGCGGCCATTCCATGGATAACTGTTGAATTCACCACTGCTTTGTGACCGTCTTCAGAATTCTCTTAATGCGTGGTGTGTATGTGGCACTCCTTGTTGCGATTCAAGGTGGCTGAGCCTGGCAGAGAGGTGGAATCTGGTGAACCTGATGCTCAAGTGCCAGGCTGTGATAACGCAGTCGCTGGCGTACACGGACGCCAAGTCCACGTACAGTGCCTTTGCCAAGCTTCAAGAGCACAGGATCAGTCTCAAGAGCATGTACAGCATCGCCTCAGTGTTGGGGCAGTGCCTGAACAACTTTGGGAAATGCTCGTGCGGCAAGATGTTCAGCTCCCTGCGGTGCTCATCCTGCTTCCTGGACAACACGCCGAAGGCGACCATGGACCTGTGCGAGAAAATGCTCCAGGAATGCCACAAGGAGGTGAAAGGCGACGAGGACAAGCTTCGAAGAATGCCTTCTGGACAGCTGTCCATGTCCAGGGCGGAGTCCACTCCAAACCCGACACTGCGCTAGGCTGTGGCGTCGGCGGCTCCTGAAGATCGGATTTGCCACTTTGGTTCTCATTAGAGGGCCCCTTGTAAGAAATCAGGGCTGAAGATGAGCTGCTGACGTGCCGAGAACACCGTGCCAAGGGGGCGGCCGTTGAGGGCGCCTGGAATTTTTCTCGGAAGCCCCTCCGGCAAACGTATAAACAAGAATTGTTCTGTAATTGTGGAGAATGTGCCCATGCCGCTCTCGGGTCCTCAGCACCAGGCTGATGGGGCCGCTCCTCTGCTGTATCGTCCATGAGCAAGGAGAATAATTCTGAAGCCTTTGAATAAGCTGAGTACAAGGGATCCTTCATGAATCAGGGCTGCGATTGCGTCTCAATGAAATGGACGCAGATTTTAGATTGGAGGCAAATGTGCCAGGAAGTCGTTTAGGTATAAAATTGTATAGATGTTGGATCTGAAGGCAGAGGGATCGTCTAGAAAGGCTTGGGAGTACCGGAAGTTTTCGATCCAGGATTGTCTGAAGACGTGTGAGTCTGTTTCGCCAGAGCACCTGAAATGCAAATTGTCGCCTTTCTGGCAATGACCACATGACAGGGACACTGGCCCATGCGCTGCAATGTTGTGGCTGGTGCAATGCCAGGCATCGCTGGAATTTGCATTTAGTTTGAGGCGCTGCTTTCGGCGCCAACAGATACAATAACTCGGCTTGAAAACTCGAATGCCGCTAAGCACGGGAGCGCGATATCGCGGACAATGGCGGAGTGGGGCGGAGAGGTTCCGAGATTGAGCATTGTGTGGCGAGCTGGACAGAATTTCAAGGCATTAGCGGTATGTATGATGTGGTTGAGAGGATGTGCGAACTTGCTGAATGCATAGTTGACGATAATGCCCACGGATGTTGTTGGAGTGTCAGTGAATATCCGGCGTCGTGCTAATGTAGACTGGACCAGATTGCGCTCCGAGAGGCATGATGTCTCCTTTGGGGCTGAGAAGCTGGATAACACTCAAGTACGAGGCTGTTGTTGTGGGCATGGCCGTTGTTGCACAGTATAGTGCTGTATTTTAAGAGCATTTTGCAACAACGATTTCTAAAGTTTTGAAATCATGAAGGCACAAGTGCTGTAACTTAATCTTTAAGATCGATTCATGACACTTGTGCCAATCTGATAGATAGTGCGATATCATGAAAACCATCGATGGTTGTGTTCCGCAACGATCCTGGGGTACGGTCTGTTACAAACTCTTCGGCCTACAGCTTCGATTGGACGGGCTCTATCATTGCCTGCATGCAAAGCTTACCGTCGCCTGCGCAGCTCGAGAATGAAGTTTCTGCTTCATTTTGGCTCCCTTCTGTGCAGCGATGCGTCATGGATGTCTGAATCAGAAGCGATTCTGATGTGCCAGTGACGTGGCTTCCCCACAGTGGCCACCACACGCAAAGAGGGGAGGTGGGGGAGGCGTCTGAACTTTGCGTTAATTTGACGCCGAAGATAACAAATCGCTGCACAGTTGCCCTTGCTCCGCTCGCCGCTTCCCCCATGAATTGTATAGCTGTTCAGAAGCTTCGAATGGCGGTCTGTGCGGTGGCGAAACATCGCCGCGCAAGTTGCCCTCAGTCACGAAATGCCCCCAAGCAGAAGAAGCGGGTTCAAGGCCATATTCACCGTCAAACACCACACCATCATGTTGACACCCAGTGGGCTCAAGGCAGGTGAAAGTAACGCCGCGTCACCCCGTTGGTCGCGTGACAGGCCAGCGGAGCCGAAAAAAACACAAACGGGGGAGGCCGCCCCGCGGCGGGGTGAAACATCGATGGCGGAATTGGCTGGCAGCCTCGGGTGACAGGCCCAGGCAGTCCCGGCGCCCCCCCTCCCGCGCGAGGCCGTCGTCCCGGCCGCGCCCACCCGACGCCGATGGTGTCCGGCTGCAAGCGGCCCCGGCCCGACGACCTCGAGTCGCTGGCGTCCGCCCTCCGGGCCTCCATCCTCTTGGGCGCCTCCGATGACCCCGTCAACAACGCGCGACTGCTGCGCACCGCCGACGCGCTGCTCCAGGCGGCCCCGTCGCACAACGGGCCGGCGAGTGCCGCGCCCGATTGCCTGCATGGCCTCTCGACTGTGGCCAGCGACGCGTGGAGGTACCTGGACAGCGATGGGGCGGGCGCGCTCAAGCGGGTGTGCTCCGCGGCGTGCGGGATGGTGGCCTCGAAGGACCGGGGGGCGGTGTGGGCAGCGGCGGAGTTCATCCAGCGAATGGCTTCGGTGGCTCCGGACGCACTGATGCGGGCGCAGGGCCTGGAGCGCGCTCTCGCGTGGATGCTGTCGCTGGAGGTGACGAGCCCGCTGGCGTTCGCGGGCGTGTGGGTGCTGGGCAGGTTGATTTCGTCGGCGCTCGGGGTGAACGCCACGCGCTGCGGCGCCGTGGTGGAGGCAGAGGGCGCGAGCATGAATGGCGACGCGTCTGCCCTCTATTGGACGTCGTCGCTGGGCGCGATTGTGAATCCAGCGTGCATAGGGGAGCTGTGCCGGCTGCTGAGGCATGTGGCCGACAGGTGCACGGTGGCGGACCTCAGGGTGGCCTGCGCCACGATGCAGGCGCTGTCCATGCTGCTGCACAACCGGAACTTCAGGCGGGTGATGAGGGACCTGCTGGGCGTGCTGGAGGGCCAGAAGCTGCTGTTCACGCTGCTGAGGGTGACCAAGGTTGCCTTCCGGTTGCCGTCCCCTCTACTGCTGCAGGCCACAAACGACCTGCTGTGGAGGTATTGCACGGCCGACCGGGAGAGGCACAAGGAGCTGTACCTGCTGGTGTTTGAGTCGGAGCTGGAGTTCACGGAGAAGGCCACGGAGAGCCGCGAGGCGGTGGTGGAGTGCCTGTTCTGGGTGAACGCCTTCAACTACCCCACCTGCAGGTCCAGCGACGTGGACACCGCAGTGGCGTGGGTCAGGAGGTATCACTTCCTGTGGAGGCTGTACAGGTACATGCGGAGGGTACGGCTGGACGAGGATCACAACTGGTTCCTGGTGTGCGCCAACACCTACGCCAGCCTGTACCCTATCCTCTTCAAGCTGTCCACGCAGCAGCACTCGCTCCTGCGCCCCTTTCAGAACGAGTTGCGCGACTCGGGGCTGCTGGACATCACCCACAGTTTCATTGATGGTCTGGTGGCCCTGATCCAGAAGTGTTATGGGGCGGCATCCATCGAGACCCCAGAGGAGCAGCGGGCAGAGCTGGAGGTAATGTCACTCACGCTGTGCAACGTGGTGTACTTTTACACGCTGTGCATGCACGACAACAAGGAGGTGTTGCAGTACTGCGAGGTGTGCGGAGCCCTGGACTCGGTGATGAGCGCGCTGGAGGTGTCGGACCTGATGTTTGCGGTGGACAACGACAGGGACCTTGTGAGGCTGGCTGCTAGGACCCAGGAGGAGGTCCTGGGCCTGCTGTGCACACTGATGTTTCATAAAATGAACAGAACACAGCCTGATCGGTGGCCCTTGGACTGGAGCTTCATTCAAGATGGGCAAATAAAGAAGATCGTAGAGCAGCTTGGGCACCTCGCCCATCTGGACGTCGTGGTGTTGACCCAGAAGATATCTGTTGTCCGAAAGAGGTTGGAGGTGCTCTTCTACCTGTCCCACTACACAAGGAACCTCCTGTCAAGGGCCCAGCCACAGATTGTGGACGCCCTGAAAAAGGTGAACTACTCGAAAACATTGGTGAGATTGAAGCCGATAGTGGAGGGGCTGCTGATGCTGAAAGGTGGCACACTGCCAAAGGCGGATGAAAGGAATATTGAAGACATTGAAAGCTACTATGTGCTGCTTCAGCACGTCTACCTCCAAACTCAGACTTCTAGGCGAGGGGGAACGCAAGACAAGTAGTGCGATGCTTCGGACTGGCTCGTTCAGAAAATTTAGGTGTCACATAGGCAGCAGCAGAGTAGCGTTAGCAGGGGAGCGGGCCGGCCGGGCGCATGCATGCACCGACATTCTCAATTTCATTTATTCCCATTTATGCAGTCAGAATGTCCAAAATTTTGTAATTTTATGTTGGCACTTTACACCTGGGCAGTGGGATTTGTGGTGGGCTGTGCTGCCTATTGTGCAAATGGAAACATTGACACTTAGCGCCCCTGGAATGTTCATTATACGGTGCATTGTCTGTAGATATTGTTCCTCGCCACTGATCCAGGCGAGAGCCTTGCGTATTTCAATTTACACCGATTCTGTCAGGTAACATTCAAATTGCATTCATTCGCTGCACTGGCCCCCTTATCGCTGGGACCCAACGAAAGGTGTTGGGCAGCATGTTCCAGCCAACACTGTTGGAGGGCTCTTCTTCCTGTCCCACTACACAAGGAACCTCCGGGCATCCATGACATACAGCTATTCTGAGGAAAGAAATTCCGCAGATATGGGGCCCCGAAAAACACTCACAAACGTCTGATAACAATGGCATCCCCATGAATCCAAGTTTCCCTGCAAGTATATTGGGCAATTTATTTCATTGATTGGACCACCAGGCTTTCATGACGATAAGAGCTTCAAACAAGGCACTGTCATTATGTGCCAGTCACGCCAACAGCTGCAATCCTTCGCTGAATGATTGAAAACAAATTCAATGCACAACATCGCACTATTACACTGACCACGCTTCTGATCTGTTGGGCTGGCTTTACGTAATAAAAGTGGTAAAGGAGCCAATGGAGGACAGTGTCACTTTTCATGGCGATGCATTCCACTGTACAGTGACTGAAGCTGCTCACACAGAACAGGCTATCAGTGCAATTCAGCCATTGGAAAGAATCTGTCAGCCCTTGTTCTAACATTGTGTGCAACTACCAAATAGTGGAAGTTCTGCCATGTGAGCAGTTTGTCACCTGAGCAAAATGCCAAATACATGAGTAAGCTCTCCCTTTTCTTGTGGGACCACGTAATGGGAGCTTGGCGTTTGTGCCAAACCCGCTCGCATTAGACTGTTCACGACGCAATCCATGTGGCAAGTGCCAGCCGCCAGCCTTGCCAGGTGGAACGTGCAGGGTGATTTTGCGATGCTGTTGGGCATCTGCTGCCTCATTCATGGGCAATGGCGAGCCAGGCTGTGTTTAGTTTGTCTGCTTCGTCACAAGGGATTCAAACTCGCAGTCAATGCTGGATTTTGGTCAATGGTGCATCTTCGATGTCATTTCCCATTCCACTCCATCCTATTCCATGCCATTCCATTCCATCCCTTTCCTTACTTTCCTTCGTTTCTTTTCCATTTCTTTTCCATACCTTTGACCACCACTTGGCGAATGGAGAAATGAGCGAATGAATAAACGGAGACAAATAAACATATTGGATGTGCGGCTGCCGGCCCCCACGCCCACTCCCACCACACCCACCATCGTCGCCTGCAAGTTTTAAGGTTCTGCATTGTCTGGGGATGTCAAATCCTACACAAACTCTTGTGTTCATAGTGTGAGCTGTAACACAAGGGTTGCCAATTTTACATTACAGACAACTGTCTTTGCAGCCATCCTGAACAAAAAAACGGGGTACCACCAGAGCACATGCACCTTAGCAACATCCCAGATCATTCTCTACTACCTGTGCAAGCACTCAGCTGTATTACAAAATTCCGACTGGGCGAAACTGAACTAATCCATGGCCCAATACAAACCAGGATGACCCGGATTTTCTGCTTCAGGCATGGAAGCATTGTACCCTGCATGAGATCCCACAATTTCAGTGGACTGCTGGACGTCCTTCAATTTGTTGGTCTGCGCCCTTATGCCATTTCTCACTTCGACTTCCAGCTCGTCAGAAAGTCGCTGGTGACACTCCATGATCTGCAGAAACAGGGACATAGGGCATTCAGTGGACCATGAACGAGTTAATGGCAAGTGCCTGACATCTGTGCACCACAGCCTCTCACTTGATTGCGCCTTTGCTCGATCTCCGCCAAGTTTCTCTTGAGAACTGCCACTCGGGCAGCTCCCATTATTGCATCCATGGATGCACTGGAGAGCAGGATGTCGGAAGTGCCCTCTTTCACCCTGGGGACAGACAGGTTTCAAATGCAGGTAGGCTCACACTGGTTCAGAACATGACTGTCCATTGCATGTTCCAGAGCGTCAGCTTTTCTGCTTTGTGCCAGCACTATCCGATTGCAGTTAACAATTCAGTCCAAATTTTTCCAAATTTCCAATTATTTCAACATCGGAGTTCTCAGGGTTGGTTTTGTTTCTTAGAGAACGTTGCTTGTTGGTGAACGTGTCTGGCAAGATATTGTCCTGTCTGTTGCATTGATGAGCACATGAACGGATTTATTGCAACCTATTGTGCGTGCACTGTGTACAGTGTAAGTCAGGGCATGAGCTAGGAGGTGAGACACAGCCTTGCAGAAGTATCCAGTTGACAAGCAGTTGTCAGCATACTGCTCTTTTGTTTGCGTTCTGATTGACTTCTCACCCAGCGGCCGTAAACCCTTTCTCAGGACTGATCAATTCCATCAACTGGAGGTGATCGTCGGTCCCCATGTCCCGACAATATTGGCTGAAAGCTCCCTAACACACCATGATACAATATGGAGTGAGATGCGCAGCAATCGCAAGAAAACAAAGATCATGATGAATGTACGGGAAAAACGAAATCTTGGCTGCCATGGGCACCAAGTTCAGCTGAAGGCTTCAACTAGGCAACAACAGCAGAAGTGTGAATGTTGCCGATTAAGCATGCAATATACACTGCACACGTAGCAATGCACATTGTCACTTCAGAAATGGCGAAAGTCAGTGCACAACTTTACTGCAGGTTCTACAGAGCAGACGAAAGTACAAGGCATGCCGTGGATTGCGGACTGTGCCTGGCTTACCTCCATGCAGCCCCTGATGGCGACAGAAAACTGCGTGGAAACAGTGCAATCTGTCACAGCATGTCACAGAGGCAGTAGCAGATTATATTGTGCACCTTTTGGGGCACAAGGTGTGGTTAAGGGGCAAAGAAACTTCACGCCCACGATGGAAGCACACAGAAAGCACTAACAGTTGTCTGTGTGTTGCCTTGGATTGGAAATGCTGACAGTCTGCCTTTTTCCCTCAAGCATGCCCGAATCATGCCAATTCCCAGCCATGATCTTTGTACCTTGTCCCACATGTGAACCAACTTGGCTCGAGACGCTGGACTCTCTCCCGGAAAGAATCTATCAAAGTCCTGCGAGGAAAATACCATGCCCAACAGTACACACATAATGTCACCAGTTGTTGACTTGTCATGAACCATTCACATTCCGTGCAATCTGTCAATTTCGGACGTCGAGGTCCCTACGGTCTTTCAACATGAAGGGCGGATGTGTTTTCGACCGATGCAGCATATCATTTCACCAGGCCTGTGCGCAATCGTTTTGCACAACCACGGCTTGGCGCTTGCCGTGGGCACGGCAAACCGACATGGGAACGGCGTGCAGCAACGGCAGCACCACGCCACAGCATCTCACCTCTGGCTTGCGCCGAAAAGCCTGTTTCATGTAATAATTGAAGGCTGCGCGCAGTTCCTGTGACGAGTTTTGGGCCATGGAGCTGTCGCCCGCGCCCGGGCGCTGGGGGTGCCAATCGCAACCCGCCAGCAAATCCTCACAACATGGAAAATGCGTCCGGCAATGCACAGACCCCTCCCTGCTGCTGCTTGTGGCTTGGTGCCGGCGCCTGCGCGCTGCGGGGAGTTCCGCACCTGGCCCCGTTGCAGGCGCACGTCTGTCTCGCTCCCGCGCACAAGCTGAAGGCGGGCAAGGTGCCAGAAACTCGAATGGTGTGAAGGGGCCCGCCAGCAGAAAATGTGTTCCATTTACCCATTCGATTAATCGGTCAAGGAGTGCTGCACTGGCGTTGTGGGTGTGCTTCATAGTACATTGGGCTTCTCTGGAAAGCTGGTGGGGAAGGGCGATGGCTGGCGGCGTGGTGGCCCGGATAGAGGCGTGGCTGCGGCAGGCGGGGGTTTGGTGGGATGAGGAGCTCATGCGGATCTGCGGCAGCGCGGAGGCGCCAAGCGGTTTTGCGATGGGCGTCGTGGCGACCACAGATATTCCCGAAGGGACGTCACTGTGCACGATCCCGAAGCGTGCCGTGTTATCAATCAAGACCACAGGAATCGCCGATCTGATAGAGCAGAGCGACATCCGCGGGGGGCTCGCCCTCACCGTGGCTGTGATGTACGAAATCGCTCTGGGTCGGGAATCGCCGTGGTGAGTTGAGTTGTTCAATGGCCTTTTGTTGTCAGTGACCGTTTGTACATGGAGGCACGAAGGGTGAAATTCCAAGGGGAGAAATTGTCAAAAGAGCTACGGCAACAACTGGCTTGCACCCTGCAGGCGATGATGGGCAACACAGATGCATTGAGTGTTTGTTCCATAGTTCAGGATTCTGCATTGTGCCTAGCTAAATCTGCACCGTGAATGTGCTCGTCTAAGACAATGAATTGCTGCTCGGGGCGCTTATCCGCCCTCCTTGTTTATTTCGCTCTCCCGACACTGGCGACAGAATGACCTCGTGCACTGAAATTTGGTACATGCGTCAAAGCCATTGGTTGCGTTGTTGGGCCAGGTTCGGATACTTAGAAACGCTGCCTTCACGAGAGTACCTGCCCATCTTTTGGCCAAGGGAGGATCTGCAACTGCTGAAAGGGACTGATTTGGAGGGCAGGGCGGGAAAAGACATGTGAGGGGTGAGGCGTTTGTCACATTGCTGTTGTTGGCAAAATTTTCACTGCACATGCAGGATAATAGCTTTTTCGCATTTTACATCTGGGAAGCATACCGTTGATGTGTGGAAGCGGACAGCAAATGCAGCTCATGCATGGGTTCCCCTTTGTTACCGTTTGTGTGTCACATTTGAAGCATAGAGCTTGTCTATGTCCTATCGCAGCATTGAATGGATGTTTGCACATGTGCTAGGAAATGGAGATACTAAGGGTGGATAGTTGGCTTTGAAAGCACTGGAAATGACTGTTGTTGAGTGTCAGGTGGTTCCATCTGGATAGGAACTGTGACTCTCGATTCATTCAAAGCCACCAGTTTCTGCTGGATGGGCTGTTATGTCTTGAATATGGCAGTTGAAGACAGTTGTTTACTGTTATCAGACATACTCCGTTGTGGCAGTAATCCAAACTGAATAGGTTGTAGTTTGGCATCTCCATATCGCACTGTGCAGTGCCAGAATGTAAGTTTGTTCGATTGGAACAGAACAACAGCTTTGAAGAAATGCTCACATTTTGCTGTCTCATTGGCTGATGCATTTGTTTTTTTTGCTTAGGGAGTTGACGCGAGATGACTATGAGTCAGTGGTCCCATTCATATCGCAGCATCCTGACAGGTTCAGCAACCTGACTATGGATCTGAAGGCTTTTCGCGAGGCAGCTTCACTTGTCGCATCGAGGGCATTCATAATCGACAAGGAACATGGTGTGCTGAAGGGCTGCTCTAGCCATTGTGCATTAATTGCTGATCACCTGTATGTGGGTCGTTGTATCTGCTGATGAGCAGCAGAGCCCTTTCAGGGGTGTCATCAGCAGAATAACTCTGTGCTGGCAACTGCATTGCTGGTAATCGAGTGCTTGTGAGTGCAGCACTCTTGTGCCAGCTTTGCCAATGACACCCAAATGGTCTCATCTTTCCATTCCTCAAAGTTTCCTTTCGTTCATCTGATTCCTTTCGGGTCCTGCTGTTGCTGGCCGCTGCAGGGTTGAATAGCTGCTTCAATGACTCCAGCTGCTGTTGCAGCATGGCAAGATGTATTACTACTTTTGTCTCATTTGTGGGAAGTGACAAAACACTACCCTTGCACCTTTAGGGCACAACATGGGGGGCATTTTGGGGGTACGGCGTGGGGCGCATACCCTTGTGCAGCATCTCCTTGAATGCGATCCCCACAAGCACCTTGTCCAAACATGTCAGGCTATTGTGGTGCAGGTGATGCTATGGTTCCTCTTGCTGACCTTTTCAATCACAAGGCTGCCATTCTTCATTTCTCAAGTGAGTACATCGTGGAGGGTCAGTCATCAGACGATGAAGACTCTGATGGCGATGGAAGCAATGGGGAAGCCGCAGCAGAATGCAATGGTATGTTCTTGCCCACAAGAACCCCATCTCAGCTACTTCGTTGAGAACTTGGCAAGGCCTGTGACTGAGCGCTTGGCCATTAGTACAATCTGTACACCCCCCCCCCCCCCCCCCCCTGGGGTTTTGACACTATAGCTTTCAGACCCCCATGCTTACTGTTACTACATATGCTTTGGACAGAATGGTAGTGGATTGGGAGGCTGTGGAGAGACAATCTGTGGTTGCTCTGCATTTTTGTGTCTTGTCGGCAATTGAGAAGATAATGATTGTTGTCCATTATCCAATTGCCAGCTGCCCTGGCTGACATTGGCTCTGGCCTATTTCTGGATGTGCTGTCCGCAGATAATGTACCAGAAGGTGACCCAGCCACAGAAACCAAGAGCTGTGCACAAACATGTGACAAGGAAGAAGGTGCCTACTGCTGTCCACAAGTGCTGCTGCGAAGCAAGTCAAGGGCTCTCCTTTTTGAAAACTGTCTGTGAGAAGTGAATGCGCTCAGTCCAGGGTTTGGCACTACCTGACACTCAAAGTTGCTTATGCACTTCTTGCACTGTCAGCCAGGTTTCAGCATGGTCCCTAACCTGCCTTTTCAGACTTGTCTGTCATGAGCTGTAGTTGTTTTGATGCATGCCGGACAAAGACTACATGCTGTTATCTTTAGGAGTAGAAGCATGACAATGCAGAGAATTTCGTTCCATGCTGCATGTTCCATGTTGTGTCCATGTGCAGGGGCCCAAGATGTCTCTGTCTCAGGCCCAAGGCTCGAGATTGCCATATGCTCTGCCACAGAAGATGTGCTGGAGATAGTAACTGCTTCCAGGATTGAACAGGGCAACGAGATCCACAATACCTATGGAGAACACTCGAATGCTGAGCTCCTGCACAAATATGGATTTGCCTTGCTGTCCAATCCCTTCAATGTTATCACAATTGCCAAACAGGCTGTTGTAGATGCCATGACAGACATCATGGGTGAGGAGTTGTGCCGCGAAAGGTGTGAACTGCTTCAAGACAACAGGTATGTGTCTTTCTGGGCATAAACTATCGACATTGGGTGCCCCTACCACACCTTGACTTAGGTCTATGCCAATTGTGTTGGCCTGCTGCATATCTCAACTCATGCTTTGTCTTATGTAACCTTCCTTTGCTGCTCCAGTCTGTGACGTTGTATCTCTACCTATAGTGACCTTCCTACAGATGGCACCAACATGTGATCGAATGGGAAGGTGTGTGTGGATTCACATGAATATTCGCAAGTGAAGGACCGTTCACATGTGTACCACGCAGTGCAGAAGGTGTTGTTGACTTCATGATCTTGCTAGTTCACTATTATTGCGTATGTTTGTGCTGGGAGAATGCAATGCTCAGCAACTTGAGTACCTGGAACGCACAGGAACAACAGATGCTCAGGATACTTTTACGTTGCTTTTGGGGATACCCAGCTTTAGCTCACATTGGGCATTGAATGGCAATGGCTAAGGGCTGCATTGGATTTCAAATATGGTACAGTATTCTTTTGTTTGAATGTGCTGTTTTGCTTGGTCAGCCACCTCCTTGAACCTGATGATGAACCTTTCGAAATCTTGGAGGGGGGATTGCTGTCAGCTCCACTTGTGGTTGTGTTGGTCGTGCTCACCACTCATGGCAGCAAATTCGATGGCTGGGAGTCGATGCTTCGCACTCTGGAGGTTGGAGGCCAAAGCATCCAGGAACCAAAGGCGGTGGCAGCCGTTTGGGACCTCATTGGTGCGGTGGGCCGAAAATTTTTGCAGGACACGTTAAGCTCAAGGCTCACAAAGTATGCAGGGGGGAGTCTGGCTGATGAGAAGGCAATGCTGCAGCGGCTGTGCGATGAAGGTAGCAGGTAGGGTACTGCAGGTGCTGGTGCATTGTCTTTTTCTATATGTTTATGAAAAGGTGGTTGCAGCAATATGTTGTTGCAGTGGATTCAGGTGAAGGCAAGTAAGCATGCATACAAGCAACAACATGCACCACGGTATAGGGCACATACTGCAAACGGTCTGATCCAAGCGGGACTGCACAGCACATTGCTGCCGCTGTGTTGATCTGCGCTTTGGAATTCCTGCATTCGTGGCTTCGGTTGTTCCTGTGCGCAGCCCGTGTCGCAACTCGTGATTTACTTTGTGGTACGGATTCCACAGGTCAGAGCAGAAGTGTGCCCGAATCGGCGCTGCAACTCTCCGTTTGACGGAAAAACAGATCATTCTGGATGTTCTTTCCCTGCTGGAATCAACTCGTGTGGAGAAGGCGCAAGTGGAGCCAGTCGCCCAGATCAACTCAACCAACCACGCGAAAAGAAGGCGAACTGCTTACCTTGCTGTTGATTGATTTTTTAATAACCAATGTGGTGTTAATGCTGTGTTGAGGAACGTGTTCCAGCAGCCAGTATTCTCTGAATATGGTTGCTGCAATGTATGAAGTCGTTCTGCAAGGTTCATGTGTCTTGAAGACTAAGGCGGTTACACTCATGTACACAATTCGTTCGGCCGGGGCGCAATGCAGAGCAGACCACGCTCAACACTCGTGTTGAATGGGCTGCCAGATCAACTGCACCCCACGTGCCAGTTCGTTTTCACGCCAGCGGCCTCTCGGAAAGGGGGGAACACGGCTGTGTGCATTCATTTGCGCCTGTGTTGCTGTGTCCAGCGGAGAGGCGACAGCAACAAGAGAATCCGATTCTCAGGCGACTGTTGCAGTGCGCGTTAGCTGTGCGTCCAACGCAGTTGAACGCGAGCCAAAACAAACGGCTTGCCATAATGGGCACATAGCCTATTGGGCTTGTGCGTGTGGATGTGGACGGGGAGGCACCGTACGGGGTTTGTAGAGCGTAAGGGCGGGCATGCAGCAGTTGCCATGAAAATATCAAAGAATTGAACGCAGCTTCAGGCAAACCAGAGGCTTATCCAAGATGAGACGACTCAACAACGGCACTTATCTGTTTGCTCACAGCCAAATCCATGGCGAGCAATTCCCAGTAATTGGATAACATTCAAGACAGGCCCATCCTTCCGCACATGGACGACTGCAGGACCAATCAATGGTATCGAACTTTCATCAGGCCCCACGAATGCGGTGGAAACAAACAGTGCACCTTTCGCTGGAAATCGGATTACGCCCTTTGCTGAGTACGTGCGTCATGATGTTCGTCACCATCTAGCGGGCAGAGGCAGGCTGAAGCCACGTCTCTGGCGGGCTCACGATGCAAACGCTACGCACCAAACTGGGAGGTCGACAACAATTCAGTACTTCGGGGGTTGATCCATGCCGCATCTAGAGACGACACAAGATGCGGACTGATGTGCTTTAAGGTCCATCATCGCCACTCAATGCTCATCATTAATTTCACGTACCGTGTCAGCGGGCTATTAAACGACTGTGGCGCTCACGGCACGGTACAAATATACACTGTCAGCGATGCCCAGGCGAGCCTGAAATTGCTGTGCTGTCATGTACGTACATGCAATACACTAAATATTGGGATGCTCGCACAGCTGATCAGCCCCATGGTTTACATATGCCCAATGCTACAAAAACCATCAATTATACCACCATGTCATGCCTGAAATCCAGTCGCGTCGGCTGGTCATGGCATCCATTCATCGCCAGTGCTCGCGGCACCATTTGGTGTTTGAAGGGGCCCCTGCAGCATTGGCTAGAAGAAGAATACAGAGCAATGGCCAATGGCTATTCTGCTGCCAAGGCATACCAATGATCGGTGATGCGAAATTCCATGCGATTGGAACGTGGAGTTCGAGACTGGCCGCAATTGAGCGCTCTTGAACTGCGCAAGGCGTCGTCCCAAGCTACATCGCAGGTGGTGGACAGTGCTGTGTTCGCCACGCTGCAAAGAAACTTGGCGTCTGCTTTCCACTTTGCACATATACACGGACCTGAACGATGAGACCGCCTTCTTGTTGGTTTTATCACTTGTTGATGACGAAGCGATGGCAGCCACCGGTTGTTGTTGTCGCTGCCGTCAACTTATCAGTTTCGGCCATCGTTTGGCGCTCTGCTGCTGCATATGAAGTGCAATTATGCACTTGTGTGGCTAGATGCTGCCGGAATGTGTGCAACCTGTGCTGCAAATTGCTACTTTTGTTGTATTTGCGATGACCACATGTTTATTATGTTGCTGCGGTGTGCAAAGAGTCAGACATTTGCTGGTGTACAAGGGTGCTGTTATGCATGCCTTTGGCTTGGACTTGCTTTGCCCTGTGATATATTAGGTATTCAAGACCCTGGCATCGCCTTGTTGATCGAGGAGGCTTCCGTGGGGCAGAGGATGTGGCTACTGCACGCCTTCAACGCCAGGTGGGTTGGCCATACTTCCTTGCTGTAGAGATCACCAGGTCGAAGCCTGTCTGAGGCACTCGGCATGCATTGGTCACCGACTCGCTGCAGACGGCCTTCCTGTATCCTACACTACATAGGAACATGACGAGTTGCAGAAACGCAGCGTTTTATGTTACCGTATCTACCCGGTGTGGCTCGCCCCTTGTTAGTTTCCGCCCCCCTCTCTGGGGTTCCAGATCACAGTATTATCCATGACCCGGTGTTAGTAACCACTCAAGAGGGTCTGGATTCGCCTTGAGGAGAAGAAGCTAGTTTGCACATCTTTGCTTGCACATCACCCCTGTTGCACGCCTTCAACGTGCAACAACAACTGCAAAGCCCTCACCCTGTACCGACACGAATGTGGGTGATGGCTGCAGACCTCGCAGCTTGCGTGGCTACTCTGATTGTTGGAAAGAGGCCGCTTGCTTGTCGAGCAACTAAAGGCCACGCATCGATGGCACAGTGACAGGCCTGGAGTGGTCTGCAGATACGACATTATTGCCTATTCCCAGCACAATTCTTGCCATGGCGCAAACCTCCGCGGGGGCAAGTAGCCGGTAGCCTTTGCACTGCATTTGCAAATTTTATGCCTATTTGGGAGCATTTCGCGGCCTAAGTTTCAAAACTTTCTTTGCCTTCCCCTTGTATCAGGGGTTGGTATTGGTATTCATGATTCGCAATTATTTTCTTCCGCTCATTTGGGAGGTCCAGCACACATATGCTAACCAGGTAATCACGGTAATACTCCTCATGTCTGTCGAAAAGAAACAGGCTGCAATAGCATTTTCGATAACTGGGTCCATGATGGACGTTGACGTTGATGGACCATCAACATCGCTTCAACTCCCTTGTGGATTACCATCAACATCCAGGTGTACTCCAGAGGGATGGTCAACATCAATACCAATGCCACCCAACAACCAAGCAGCAAGGCGCGATGGAAACCTCGCTGGTTTACAGGTGAGCCTGCAACTGCGCAGCCTCGGCGTCAACGAAAAAGCGACCGCTGGTCGCAGGTGACCCAGCCGCAAATGATTGCGCATTGACGCCTTGCCCTTTGCCACATCTACGTGTGCTATGTTGCGGGCGGCAATAGAAACCCCCTCTTCGCGAAGTCTGCCAATGCACCTCCCCGATCCACAAGTTTTTCAAGCGCATTCTCGCCCATTGCTTGCACTAATGACCTCCGTTGATGTGACTCAGAACAGACAGGAAACATCTCTGCGTGGCTGTAAAAGAGAAACTCAGCGCAGGGGATGTTCAACTCAAGTTTAAGGGGCTTCTCGACACAGTCGCCGGAGGCTGGGAGAATGCACTATGGCTGCACCGGACGACGAGCTTCCGGCCTTCCAGTTATTCCACACCGCAGAGGCGGGGGAATAAGTATCAGGGCAGGGCAGATCCCAGGGTGCGCCTGGGGGCTGGCATCTTCATTGATGCAAAGGATGGCGGAGTCCTCCTTAAAGACGACGTACATCTCAACTGCAGAGGTCGAGCACAGTGGCAGCTGTGGGACTATGAAAGGCATCAGTTGGATTTGGATGTCAGTTACAACCCACAGGGAAAGAGGGTAGGATGTTTAGCAACCAAGGATCGAGTGCTGTGGGGAGGAAACAAAATGAGCGTTTCTCACAACTTGTCACGGGTGTGAAGCATCACGCTTGATTTCGGAACTATTTTGCCAGGGCAGGTGATGATGTACAGCAATGCACAGGTGGTACAAAGGGGTATGCAGAAAAGGGTGTTGCATCAGCAGTGGGTGAACATCGGCACGACTGATTGCACTGGCACATGTGCCTCTTCACATCACACATTTTTGCTTGCCCCAGAGCCTCTGCTATTGTGCTGCCCACATTGCCATCATCCTTCCTGCATTTTCTAGTTGTACATGCCCCACGAGCTTGTCTGCAGAATAGGCAAAACAAGTTTGGTCCCAGGATGGGCATGGGGCCTTTGAATGTGTGGCCACTTTGATGTGTCCTTGTGGGATGCTGCACAATTTTGCTCCATGCACTTCAGCATGGTTTTAGTACAACAAATGTGAACGATGAAACTATAGCGTTTTGTTGCAGATCTTTGGCAGAGGCGGCTTCCACATCCACAAGGTGGGTTTGCTATCTGTTTGAACTGCGCGAACTGGGTTTGTGCAGACCTGGTAGTGCAATCTGTTGAGGACAATCGCAGAAATGAGGCCCTACATACTT